CTGCTGCCAATGAGTTGCTCTTCTCGAATGCTCGTGGGTACACACGCACAGTTACAGTCCTCAGTGACCCTGAAGACACTGCTGAACTATTTATTTTTATTGCCTCTCTTCGATTGGCTCACCTCACTATTATTTAGTTAAAATGCCTCAAGGTGCTGTTTCTTTGTGTTGTCCAGGTTGGTCTCAAACACCGGGGCTCAGTGCCTTGTGCCTTAATCACCCGAGTAGCTGGCCCACAGGCGCACACCACTACACCCAGATCATTCTACCTTATTTTTAGATCATTTTCATATAGGCAAAAAAGTTGTGCTGACATGATACATTTGAATTTTATAATAAACAGAGTGAATGCTTTATTATAAAAGCAATCATTCTAAGATATCTATTTCTCCTTCTTATTAATATTCAATTCAAATCACGATAAAATACATTATCAGAACAAATCTCAAATAGTCTTTCTACAGTCTTATTTAGAATCTATGCATTTCCTGTTTTAAGGACCCGTAAGAAATCTGGTTCTTCATCACCTACATCATCCTTCTAATTATTCCTCCACAGAAGCAACCCCAGCGCAGGCACTTGGGCTACTCCGCAACTGTGCCAACAGATGAGCACATTATCAGGAAAGAAAGACACTGCGGAACTCGAGAGGGAACCTAATCTATGCATCAGGTATAAATATAACTTCCTTTCTGATTGATTTGGGAATCAAATTTTCCCTCACTAAGTAATAAAGTCTCTTCTACAGATGGGAACCAAAAAGCCAGCAAGGGGCCTAGCAGCTTAGCATGTAGGACTCACGTTTCTGTGGGAAGGTATTACATTATCACACAAAAGGGATCGGATGCAGACGTGCCCTCTTCTCGGGGGCTGTGAAATCTCATAGAAGTACAAGTCCTGTGGGTGGGCATGGTGGTGCAGGCCTGTAATCTCAGCAGTGGGGAAGTTGAGGCAGGGGGGTCACTAGGAGTTTGAGGTCAGTCTGGACTGGATAGAGAGTTCAAGGTCAGCACAGGCTACACAGGCTAAATCAAAAATGAAAACCATCATCATATACACATAAGAACCTAAGTCATACTCAGGGGACCAGGGACACTCAGTAGAAGAGCACATGTCGACATGCACAAGATCGCAAGGTTAACTCACAGTAACACACTCACACACACAAACCCATGCCCATACAATTGAATCACTCGAGAGGATGCTACGTCAAAGATGTTTGTTTCTGATCTCCCGTACAATCTCCCTCCTGGGAGTCTATCAGGCTGCTCTGCATCTGTAATTTCCTTGAAGCGCTGTCACTTCTAATAGGTATGTGTCTCTCCAGAATGTGCTCGCTTCATTCCGACAGCGACAGAAAGCTTGCTAATGAAGCATCTGACCGGTTCCTTTCTTAAAAGTGTAAAGGCAGGAGAGGCTGCATTTAAAAGGCTGCATGTTAAACACAAAGGAGTTCACTAGATAATAAATTCAGGGATTGTCATGTTTGCTTTGCTAGTTCTAAGAGCCACGGCTGAGAAAGGAGCTTTCCCCGCCAGCTTTGCCCTTTCGTCTTCCTTTACCTGTCAGGGTGAATAGAAGAGAGCACAAAGACCAGGAGAACGATGTCCAGGATCCCGTCCGGGAAGGGGTAGGCCAAGCCGTCATCGCACACATCGTGGAGGAAGGCACAACAGTGGGCCTCACTGTAGGACGCATGCGACTGTCCCGGCGGAGGAACAAACGGTGGCAGGAGTTAGCGGGCCTCCAGAGGGGTTTTGGTTTGTTTTTTTTCCTTATCTTTTTTCAAATAAAGGCTATTTTTTTTTTTTAAATCCTTTCTTGGACCAGTGAGATGGCCTGGTTGGTAGAGGTGCTTGTAGCCGGGACTCACATGGTGGAAAGAGAACTGACCCCCCAAACTGTTCTCTCATCTCCACATCAGCCCGACATGTATGTTCTCTCCCCACAAAATAAATACTTGTAATAAACATTTTTTTTTTCTCTCAGGCATCTTTTCTCTGTGAACTTGAATAAACTTCATTCCTGGTTCAGTACTCTATAACTTATTTCAAGCTGCCCTAAAACAACAAAAACAAAGCCAGATGGTATTTGATCCCAGCACTCGGGAGGCAGAGGCAGGTGGATCTCTGTGAGTTCAAGACCACCCAGGGCTACAGGAGATTGAATCTGTCTAAAAGAGAAACAGAGCTCATACAAGGTGATCCCAGCACTCGGGATCCCGTGCCTTTAATCCCAGCACTGGGGAGGTGGAGACAGGAGCGACATGGATCTGAGGAGAGAGGAATATAAGGTGGGAGATGGGCTCAGTGCAGTCTGAGGATGCAGTCTGACCATACAGCCTGAGGACTGGTAGACAGGACCTCCCCTTCAGTCTGAGGGGTTGGCAGAGGTAAAAGGCTCTCTAGTGGCTGGCTGCACTGCTTCTCTCATCTCTCAGCTTTCACCCCCTTACATCTGACTCTGGGTTTTTATTATTAACACCAGTTAGAGCCCTGCCACAGTCACACAGCTCTACTACTGAAAGCCGCTCTCTTGCACTCTGAGATGGGATGCTGTGCGAGGCAGGTGAGTAAGGCTATTTGTAGACAGCATTGGGTGAAACTTATTCCACAGGATCTGTCTATGGAATCAGCAGCAGAAGGAGAGACATCAAACCCCATTATCCTGGGAAATGTGATTACTGGTATATTTGCCTTCTCTATGCATTGTTTTGAGAAATGTCTGTAATAAACACTATTATTGTCCAAAACTAACTTTTAGCATTAGCTATTTTTTTTTTCTTTTTTGAGACAGGGTTTCTCTGAGTAGCACTGGCTGTCCTGGAACTCACTATGTAGACCAGGCTGGCTTCAAACTCAGAGATCTACCTTGGCCTCTTAAGCACTGGGATTAAAAGTGTGTTCTATCACCTGGCCCAGCCAGTGTTAACTTTTGAAAGTTTTACTTAAATGTTTAGCACACTTTTTTGTGGTTTGTTTGTAGTCACGTGTTTGTGTGTACAGTAATACACGTGTATGAAGGTGGACACGTGTGTATGGAGGTCACCGAACAACCTCAGCTGTCTTTCCTCAAGTTCAGTTCACCTGACCTGGTACTGGTCTAACAGGCTAGGCTGGTTGGCCATGAACTCAGGGCTCTGTCTGTGTCTGCTGGCCCAGGGCTGGGATCACAAGCGTGGTCAACACACCCAGCCTTCTCCGTCTGAGGAGCTGAACTCGGGTCCTCGGGCTCGCAAGGCGAGTGCTCTTCTGACAGAGCCATCTCCCTGCATTCTATGTGACAGAATTTCCTTCCGTTCACTGCCGACTCTTCATCCTAAGGAGGGCGAACCAGCATTCACGGTTTGTTCAGGAAGCCCGGGTTCCCAAAGCTTCTTAGTTTTCTTAGTTCAAGAATGTCAATCTAACAAGCGCCTACTATGTGCTAGACTATATTTGTAAGCTGTTAGAGACACGCATGAGTGATAGCTTCTTCTTGGAGGTTTAACTAAAACATGGGGTAGGTAGGTGGTTGTTAAAATTAACCGACTAATATTATCAGTATCCTTTGAACTTATTCATGAACATGAACATGGACTGGATTTAAAAAGATTTTTATGATTAATTCTGTACATCTGTGTGTGGGTTTGTGCACGAGGTGAGAAGGCACCGACTCCCAGGAGCTAGGTCTAGGTGGCCGCGAGTCACATTGAATGTGCCCCGGGAACCAAACTCAGCTCTTCCGCAGAAGCAGTGTGTGCTCTTACCCACTGAGCATCTGTCCAGCTAGGACACCTCTCCAGGTTAAAAACAGGCATTCTGTATAGGTAATATACTTTAACATCAGTTGAAACAGCTTCCAGAAAGCGCAAAAGCCCAGCTAAACATCATCACAGATGCACCTGATGCAGAAATATTTCAGAAGAATCAACCACCTCAGAAGTCAACAGACCTTTTAAAAAAAATTTAAATTTATTTTTATGTGTATAAGTGTTTTGCCTGCATGCATGCCTGTGTCTGATGCCTTCAGAGGCCAGAAGAGGACATCAGATCTCATTATAGATGGCAGTGAGCCACCATGTGGGAGCTGGGGATTGAACCTGGGTCCTCTAGAAGGGCAGCAAGTGTTCTTAACCACTGAGCCATCTCTCTAGGCCCCATTTTACACATTTTAAATGTACTTATTTATCCTATGTGTATGGGCATTTCTCCTGTGTCTATATTTAGGCACCATGTGCCTGCCTGATGCTCACAGAGTTGAGAAGCAGGTGTTAGACCCTTGGAAATGGAGTAAGAGATAGTTGTGAGCCCCGTTCAGGTGCTGTGGATTGAATCCAGGCCCTTTGGAAGACCAATTAGCATTCTTAACTGTTAAACCAAGCTCTTCAGGCTTCTTGAGTTAGAACTTTTAAAAGTCTCTATTTATTTATTCATTTATCTAGTTTTTGGGTTTGTTTTGTTTTCTGAGAGAGGATCTCGCTAAATAGCTTTGGCTGTCTGTCCTGGAATTCACTCTGTAGACCAGGCTAGCCTTGAACTCACAGAAATATATCTGTCTCTGCCTCCCAAATGTTGTGATTAAAGGTGTGTGCTAGTACACCATCGCCTGGCTCTCTCTTTATTTTTAATTTATGTGTATATACATGCTTGTGTGTATTTGTGTGTATGAGTGTTTGCTATCCTTTTCAATTGCCCTTTATCTTGTGTTTATGTCTCTCATTAAACTTGGAGCTCAGGGATTTGTCTAGGTTGGCTACCAGAAGTTCAAGGATCTTCCTGTCTCTGGCTCCCCTGTGCTGGAATTACAGGCTCACGCTGCCATGCCCAGACTTTTTAATGGTGGTGCTGGGTCTGAACTCAGGTCTTCCTGCTTGCATGATGAGCACTCTCCTGACAGCCACCCCCTCAGCCCACGCCTCTCTTTCAAGACTATATAAGTCATACCTTTACAAGCTCCACCGCTTCAGAGGCAAAATCACAGCAATAAAGAAAGGATCCTGGAATGTTCCTATGTAAACGAAAAAGACATTTAGGTTCAGAGTCAGACATGTTCAAACTAGAGAAGGTGTGACAAGCTCTTACTACTACCGGGGAACTTTGAAATTCCCATCCTGTGCTGAAGGGCGCCTGACTACCTGTGAGGTATGCTCATGCTCACATGGGAATTTCTAAGCCCACCCTCCCACCTGTTCCTCGCCCCCAAGGCCTGGCATGCCCAGCTCTGCCTTCTCCAAGCCCCTCTCATTCTTCCTTTATTTGCAACTTGTTTGGTTTTGAACCTTTCCAAACAGGTGCTCAATTGCTCTGGCAGGGCAGAAGCACATACAGCATTATCACTGGAATACATGCAATCTCTAAAAGGGAATCAAACTCTAATACACAAATTCTTGGATACTTAAGATTCTTAGATATTATACACACATAATTAATCTGCTCTGCAGCACTGGGATTTGCACTCGACTTAAGATCGGTCCAAACAAGTAGAAGTAGAACAGACAGGACTTGATTGTGAAAAGTTAACCAGCACTAAATCAAAGCAAAAGACTGCAGCGCTTGATTCTGTTTTGTTTGTCATCTGTCCCCTATGGAAATGGTGTGGTGCTGAGCACGGGGCACCCGACCCTCTGCTCGCAGCACTTGGGTGGCTGAGGCAAGAAGATTGGATGCTCAAGGCCAGTTTGGGCCACAGAGTGAGCTTCTGTCTCAAAAACAGAAAGGAAGAAGTACGTAAGAACATCTTAGTACTTTACTCCAGCATATACTCTGTACTCCGCTATGAAACTCAGGTAACTGTGGCCTGTGAACTACTGAGTGCTGGATGCCCACGAATGTGCTCCGTTAGCACTCACGCACGTATGATCTGTGGCTGAGGATGAGAGGCCTCTGGAAGCAAACTGCCCTGGGCCTAACACTTGGCTCCACCACTACTAAGTGATGTGTCTGGAGGACGACAGTTTCTTGATCTGTCTGTAACTCTGTTCCTTCATCTTCACTAGAGACAAGTGTGGTGTTTAAGGTAGTTATGAGGGCTGAATGGATCCACATGGTAAGGTTCTAAAAGACTCATGGCTCAGAAAAAGGAGCACTCAACAGATCTCAGCCATTATTACAGCTGTTATTGCTGCTATTATTATTATTATTATTATTATTATTATTATTATTATTATTGTTATTCTGAAACCTGCTTCTGACTCCCAGGAACTTAAAACTCAGATGACCCTCTAAAAATGTCTATATACTTCAGTGTCTTTCTGGACTCTAGTTCAGCTAATGCCTGTGAGAGGCCTGCCATCCACCTTTGAGTAGTTATGGAACACCTATTGAGCCCAGACTAGTCCAGCAGCTAAAGGAAAGTGTGTGCCATGTGTCCTATCAAGGTGCCAGCCTGACCTCTGAGATGGAATTCTGACTGCATCAGCATCCCAAGCTGCAGTTTGTACCCAATGACCTTCAGGAGCCTTTGTGTCAAGTCAGCTGACCGCCCTGGCTCTTCTCCCACGGGTATACATGTCAGTACCACACCACAGCAGCGGCGCTGTCTGGGAGGAGATTAAGAAACAAACGATCCTTGGAGAATGATCTGACCCTCGATTCCAATGGTCTAATTATGGTGAAATATTCTGAAAGTGTAACACATTAATCCTGGGGGCGGGGAGCTCTATTTTCCCTCTGGAAGGCTGGACACTCTTGGGCTTTTAAAGATGAATTATTCCCCAGGTTAATGAGCACACCTGTAATCCCAATAATGGGCGATAAAGACAGGAGAATCTTGTTTGAGGCCAGTCTGATGAATATAGTGAGCCCTTGTTGGATGAGGAGGAAAAAAAGGAAAATGAGGAGGTGGGGAAGAGGAAGGGAAGGGGTGCAGAAGAGGTAGGAACTTAGAGCTTTCCATTAGGAGTTAACCGAAAAGAGAGCTGAGGTCAGGTGTGGTGGCACATGCCTTTAGTTCCAGCACTTAGGAGGCAGAGGCAGGCCTGGCTTATAGAGCAAGGACAGCCAGGGCTATGCTGAGAGACCCTGCCTCAAAAATCAGGAAAAAGAAAAGAAAAGAAAGAAAGAGAAGAGAGAAATGAAAGCACAACTAATACAGAACTAATAATCAATATCTATTGACCTCTTGCTATATCATACTGTTAGGTTACCTGGAATATACAAAATAGAGAAACAAGAAATTTAAAAACAACGTGCTTAGTAATAACTTGGGAACAGCCATAGAGTAACACAACCACTCGCCAGCACGGGGTCACGAGGGTGGAGAGACCTGGTCATGTGCAACAGAAGAGAAGCAGGGAAAGGGAAGACAAGAAAGTAAGGACGAGGAGTAAGGCCATGCTCAGTCGCCAGCGCCTCCCATGCCCAGCCACAGCAGCTGCCAATAGATAACAATGGGGACGCTCTGTCTGTTTCATAGCCAGATGTTCTGAAGATGCATCCTGGATCCAGAAGTGGCATGATGCTTGGCATTATGCTAAAAATTGTTGAATTGAGGTGGTGGGTTCACAGAAACTCACTGTACTGCTCTTTGCTTTCCAAAATGCTTTTACATAGTTGTAATTGAAAGATAAAAAGATCATATGTTAGGTTAAAGAATGTGTATGCAGACTGCACAGTAGCTATACGAGAGTGACAGGGACCTACACCGCCTCCTGTCGCAAGTTTTTGGAAATGCACTCACTTTGATTTTAGTGGGGGAAATAACGTGAAAGGTATCGTGCAAACTTAGAGAGAGAACTGGAGAGACCAGAGGAGGCAAAAGGTAGAGAGAGTTCATCACAGGAACACTAAAACTCTCAGGCGAGACCGACGGTGGCCTCAAAGGGCAGGTAGGAGGACATTTGTGTTGTCCCCATCTCTTTCTGCTTTCCCGCTTGTGGTCAGCACTACCACTGCAGATGACTTTGAGTCCAGGCACAGAGATCTGACGTGCGAAGGGTGCGTGGGGGTGGGGGTGCTGTTGCTCCAGCAACGCTGATACCACAGTATGAGGAGTGAGGTGTGTGCTCCAATCCCAGCTCTCTGTGTAAGGTGCCATCTGGTATCCAGGAAGAGCACACCACATCTGACGCTAAGCAAAGCACAGCTTGGTGGAAGGATGGGATCTCTTGCTCTTTTCTCATTCTGCCGTCTACGTAAACACAAGTTTAAAAACTACTTCAAACCCGTGGCTACGGAATGCTTTTTCGGAATGTTCCCCAGTTCATGTGATGTTAGTCACTAAGAACGTGTCGTTTGAAACTTGCTTTAGTCATGGTTTATCTGGGAATTCGGAATTCTTGGCATAGGTACCACAAAGTATTTCCAGAATTTTTCAACATCCCACAAATATGTAAGATTTTTGTAGGGGAAACACTTAAAACTCACCGCAAGGTGTTCATGATTGGAAAAACACAATTTCCAGCACCACAGCCAACCTAAAATTGAAAATAAACAAATGTGAATGCATTCCGTTTCACTCCCAATATTGGGTTTTCTATTAAAAAAAAAATGACTACTGAATTTCTGGGTATGGCAGGACTTGTGAAGCCCAAACGCCAGAAGAAGCAAATCACAAGAGGAACCATCAAAGTTTGGCTGTGGAGATCTTCACAATTTTGAACCCACCAAAGCCTCCTAACTGAACCAATACGTTCACACCACACTGCAGACAGCACAGCAGTGAATAAAGCATTTGCGTTTGCAGTAGCCATGGTAAAGGGCAGGACTCATACAATAGACAAGCAAAGGGAAGGAATGGGCAGAGGACAGCTAGCATGTGATGTCTGAAGAGCCATGAGCGTACTGGGTGGCGGAAAAGGGATAAACGAACGCAGGGTCAGAGGGCTCTGGAGCTTGTGAAAGCCCGGGAGGCTGCGGCAAGAAGTCTGGACTATAGGGTGAATCCGAAGCCAGCCTGGGAAACTTAGGGAGACCCTGCCTCAAAATGGGCTGGGATGTGGAACTCTTGTCTATAGTTTAAGTTCAAACCCTCATACAAGTGAGCAAGAGAGAGAAGGCTGGTCTTAAACACATATGATACTCTTGTTTCTGTCTCCTGAGTGCTGAGACTATGGGCACGTGTTCCACGTCTGGTTGTATTAGTATAGCTTCTTAGGAAGCAGTTTGGGAGTCTGTTTCAAGAGCTCTAAAAGTTTCTAAATACTGTAAACTAGTGAATTTGACCCAAGATGGGAAAAGAAAATGGAGTCAAAGACATGTGCTGAGAAAATAATTCATGCTAGGTGTATGACAATAGGGAAGCAAAATTATGGTGCCTCTCTTATGTGTTCTTGTAAATCCTCTGTAATCAGCAACTATTACCCGTAGAATCAGAAAGATGGGGTTTCGGCTCAAAAATGGGAAACCACTATCTACACTACATTACAGAAAACTAAACATCTCACTTATTTTTATTTCACTTCAGAAGGTGTGTGTGTGTGTGTGTGTGAGAGAGAGAGAGAGAGAGAGAGAGAGAGAGAGAGAGAGAGAAAGTAAAGAAAAAAGAGTGAATATTAAGACCAAAAGTTTATCAGAACTTAAGACCTGCCTCCAAGTTAGAAAATACAGCAAACTAAAGGGGGAGGGGGGTTGGGAATAAGTAACACAAAATAAAAGCCACAAACTTTGACTGATTAAAGATGTGAGTCCCAAGTACTGCTTATATGTGCAAGCACACTGAGCATCTGGTTAGGTCTGGTCTTCCACCTGGGCAGTCTGGACCATTCATAAAATAGTGTGGGGCGCACACTTCCACACTCCATCACCTCTTGGATGTCTTGTCCCCTGTACACAGTACCTCCAGTATTCGGAAAGTGGCCTTGCTACCAGGAAAGCGCTCTGTCTTCCCAGGCCCTTCGCTGTGTTCTTCCAAGTCTTGGTTGGGGAAGTTAGATCTTTCTTCGCTCCAAGGGGCTGATGAGACACGGCTCTTTTGACAATCCTTTTCCGTTCTCTGCATATTTGAGAAGTCACTTCTGCCTTGATCCCAGGATGATCCTTCCACTTTCTCTTTAGAGCTTTGATCAACTGGAAGAATTTCAGGAAATTCCCTCAACAGCCAGTTGCGATTCTTGAAAAATTTATTCTTATGGGTCTGGTAAAATGTGTCCCAGTATTTATTAGCGTCGCGTTCAAACTTAACTGAAACAGAGAGGAAAAAAAATCCATTTACTATGAACGATATTTACTATTGGCTGCTATTTTGGTAACTAAATACCTTTAATAATTAAATATTTAAGCCAAGTGTGGTGGAACACACCTCTGATCCCAGCACTTGGGAAGGCAAGGCAGGCAGGTCTTTCCATTCAAGGCCAGCCTGGTCTACAAAGTGAGTTCCAGGACAGTTGGAGCAGGTGTGGCCTTACTGAAGTGTGTCTCTAGCAGTGGGCTTGAAGTTTCAGAAGCTCAAGCCAGGCCCAGTGGTTGGCTCTCTCTTCCTGCTGCCTGCTGATCCAAAGATAGAACTCTCAGCTTCCTTTCCAGCACCATGTCTGCTTGCATGCCACTATCCTTCCCGCCATTATAATAATGGAGTAAACCTCTGAACTGCAAGTCAGCCCCGGTGAAATGTTCTCCTTGACAAGAGCTGCCATGGTCGTGGTGTCTCTTCACAACAGAACACTAAGACACACACACACACTTATCAATAACTGGATTTCCAAATCTGTCACTTTGATATTATTATCATCATAATTTTACTTACTGAATATAAGGCTAAAATACAAAAGTGCATTTAATTTTCTTCAAAAGATCAATATGTAATATATTTAATCCTACTTTTAAAATCTATTTTTCTGTCAACAGTTGGCCATTCCATTTTGTGAGGAATAGAAACTTTGAGAATTATTTTTTGAAGCCAAGCTTTGAATCTGTCTATCTATCTACCTATTTGTCTATCTACATATTTGTCTATCTATTTGTCTATCTATCTGTCTGTCTATCTATCTATTTGTCTGTCTATCTATCTATCTATCTATCTATCTATCTATCGATTATATGTCTATCTTATATATGTATATGTGTATTATATGTACATATGTGTATGTATGTATGTATACATATTTGAGACAGGATCTCTCTGTGCAGCTTTGGCTAGGCTGGTCTCAAACCCACCTGTGAAGTACTGAGACTAAAGGCATGTACTACCATACCTGGCCTAACAATCATATTTTTAATCAAGCTATTTGTGTGTGCCTTTCTATTTTCTGGGAGAAAGAACTCCGTCCCAGTCTGTCTCCACAAAGGTGCAGACAGGCAATAAGAAAAGAATGCGGGCATTATAAACGACATTCAGTTTACTCCCACTGCCTTCCTGGTTCTACAATAAGAAAAGAATGCGGGCATTATAAACGACATACAGTTTACTCCCACTGCCTTCCTGGTTCTACATCTGAAGAAAGGAACTGAAACTCCTTGTGGAGGCCCACCCTGTAACTTCACCCCCCACCACACCCTCAAATCCAGAGGCATCTCTTTCTGTTGCTGTCTCCTAATGGAAGTCTCTAAGCGAATTCCTGGTGCTTTCTTGAACAGACAGGCTCTTGGTGATGTCTTCCCTGGGTTAAGGGGCAACAGCTATGCCAATGGTCTCAGAACTTCAGGCATTTCTTAGTCTTCTGCCCCTTCCCATCTCTACGTTGCATTGACAAAGTGATTTAAACCACGTATAGTAACACAGGTCTGTAATTCCAACACTTGGGAGGCTGAGGCAGGAGAACCTCAAATTAGAGCTAGCCTGAAATACAAAGAGAATTTGAAGCCAGCCTGGGCTATATCAAAAAAACTCTTGCCTCAAATAAATCATGGTAGCACAAATTTTTAAGCTTAGCACTTGTGACAAGGAAGAAGGTTCACAAGTTCAAACAAAAACTCAAATAACTTGCTCACTCTATCTTTTATTGAACAACCATTTCTTAACTCCAATTATGTAACAAGGTTAATCCTTAGTCTTAATCCATGGATTAAGAATTACTTTTACCCTAGTAGGCAGACTCATGACAGTTTAAAAGTACTTTCAAAGTCTGCAAAAGCTTCCTAATGGGAATGTAACGATTCCCAAGGTTCAGCTGGAGAAAAGTAAGGTACAGGGCAGAACGAATCTTATGCCATTTGCTAGAAGGAAGGAGGAAAAGAAAACTGCATGTGTACACAAACAAGCAGGCACATGGACTCAGGTACTTACTAGGATAGGTACAAAACAGCACCAGGCATGGTGGCTCATGCCTGTAATCCCAGGACTGGGGAGGCTGAGGCAGAGGACTGTAAAGAGTTCAAGGTAAGCCTGGGACTCTGTCACAAACAAACAACAACAAAACCAAACAAGCAAATTTAAAAAACCTGTGGTTTAATGGAGAATTTTTTTTAGTTTTGATTCATGGGAATTTACCATCGATTCCAAAATTATGCTAAGCCACAAATAAAAATAATGGACCCCTTTCATTCATAATTTCAAAGAGACTCAACCTACGAGTCATGTGGCTGCCAACAGTCAGTCTCCTTCAGTGTCCTGAAGTGAGGTTTTCCTTCATTTTTATCTGCATAGCCTGGTCCCACAGGCCTTCATTCATCCAGGCTCATGCTTCCTGGGTCCGCTCTGGCAGCAGGAAAAAGGTCTGAGAAATGGCAGTGGGCCCTGTGTATAAGGGATGTGTGTTTGTGAGTCTACACCATCATCTCATCTGCATTAACCAAGGGCAGCCTACGTATGCTGAGCCCAAAAGTGCATACTGATCTGGATGCTAGCTCTGTGTTCACTTTCAACAACTAAGGTGCACCTGTGTACTGGGCAAGCAAACAAAAACAACATTCTGAAAATCAAACGCGGGAGGAAATAGAGAACTTCCCGATTTCCCAAGGGATTTCTTATGGCTTACTGTCTTCCTCTGTTTTAAAAACGCTCTTTGTAACTCATTCTGCGTAGATAGATTTTGTATCTAAGAAAAAGCATCCCAAAGACTTATATTTAAAGGTAATAGGACCCAAATTTAGTCAAATCTCTGGGATTAGGTTTTCCAACATAAAGCTATTTACGAGGTGAATTTGAGATGAATCACCATTAACTAGAATTTAATACTATACCATGGCTAATCTCAAGATGTATTCCCCTGAGAATTAACGAGGGTGGAGTAGGGAATTCAGGAGAGTAATGTGACAAAAATATGTGCAAGCAGTTCTATTTATTACAGGAAAGAAGCAGCAGCTTACTCAAATCGCATCTGGAAATGAGCACAGAAACCACGCAGGCCTAAACAGGGCAGACCCATGTGGCACCCGGAACATACAGGATAACAAGAAGAAAAACACTCACACACCAGCCAAGACACTGGCGGCAACTCTGACATTTAGTTTATACTTATTAGTAGTGGATGAAAGTTTGGAACGGGGTAATATAATGATTATTAGATAGCTCTGTCTTTTGCAAAGCGGTTGCCAAAGATAAAGAACAGTAACTGGACAGGCAGGGAGGAGCTGGGAAGATGGCTCAGTGGGTAACAGCTCTTGCTCTGCAAGTCCTGAGTTCAAATCCCCAGCACTCACAGAAAAAAACCTTGCATGGGTGTGCATTTCTGTAACATTAGCATTGGGGGTGGAGACAGGTAGATCCCAAGAACTCACCGGCTAGTAAAGCAGCCTACCCAACGACCACAACAAACCAACCAACCAACCAAGAAAACAAGCAGGAAACAGCGAGCTTCTGGTTTATTGACCATAAGGCTAAGTGTGAAAGAGGAAGACATCTAACCTCCTGCTGTAGCTTCTACACGCCCAGACATGGGCCAATACACTTACATGCATGTAACACACAAACACACATACAGAATCTCATGTGAATTATCCATTCATTTTGCCAATTTCCTTTAATGAGAATTAGCATAGCCTCTTTAAGCACCCCCCATATATGTGTGTATAGATATACATATATATGAATTTATGGAATACAGGCATTACCAGGTACACTGAAATAAAAAACTAAATTGGGCACCTAAATTCAACCCTAGCTAGGCAGTGGTGCATCCCTTTAATCCTAGGCCTTAAGAGACAGAGGTAGGGTCAGAGTCAGGCACACCTCTGTGAGTGCCAGGCTGGTCTATATAGTGAGTTCCAGGCCAGCCAAGGCTACATAGTGAGATCCTGTTTCAAAAACAAAACAAAACAAAACCAACCAACCAACCAAACAAACAAACAAACAAAAAACCCATCAGTAACACATGGTTTCAGGCTCTATGTCAAATGCTTTTCTTAGATTTTTCTCCATTTGCTCCTAACAGTATTGTTACCTAGGTGCTGCTTATTGGCCTAGCTAATTTCTACCTTGTCCTCATCCTGGTTATCGTTGGGAACAGGATGTTTTAAGGCCAGAAGTTCCTCTTCAGCTGGGTTAGCCAAAACCAACTGGCACTAAGATAGCTGATGGTGATTTCTGGAGGCCTGTTTAGTGATCTAATTTACATACTAAGTGACATCCTACCAGGCTGCCTTGGTAAGAACCACCGCACTCTAATAGATGTGACGGTGCCTGAGAGCTGCCATTCCCAGAAAAAACATAGCTGTTCTTCTCTCCACTGACCTACTCTTCCCATGAACTAACTGCATAAGTAACGGGTTCCACTGTGACGCTTTCATACATATATATAAATGACATTTCATACATGTGTATAAAGCTCTTGATTCACAGTCATCTCGTAAGTCTCTCTTCTCCCCCTCCCCTCCTCTTCTCCTCTTCATTCCACTTGTCCCAAGTCTATGGCTTCCCTACCCACCAGGGGATGAGATCTGTGAGTCCGAAACTCCCATGTGTCTGTGTTTTGGACACTGAACAAACTTGGAGTTCCTCCCACGATGCTTCATTTTTACCCTCTGACATTGCTACACCAAATGAAGAAAGGAAAAAAGAGAAAGGGGGTAGGGAGAAAGAGAGCCAGACAGTGCAAGAGCCAACCATGGGGAAGCCAACAATTTAGGGTTAACAGTATCTTTCAGATATACAATGTTATTCCAATTTATAGATAAGAAATTCAGTGTCAAAAGGCAGGAGATCCCCCCTTCCCAGGTCACCTAGCCAGAAAGGGAAGTCAAGACCTAGATTAAGTCAGTCAGACTCCAAAGCCCTTGATTCTTGGCCATCACATAGCCCCATCTCC